TTCTGTAACGTTCCAAATAACCATTGTTCAACTGTACAGTGGCGAGAGAAGTCCTCTGGTGTTAGAGATGCTTAGAATATGGTTACCCTATCCACTGTTAGTGGGGTGCAATGCAAAAACATGAGCTGAAAGCAAAGTAACTGGGCAGGAAATTGCAACAGTGTGTGTTCATTTGAAGCCAAACTTTATAGTAAAAGATATTTTTCACAAAGATGCTCGTTTTTGGCTCATGTTTGACTGCACAAGCAGCTAGTTTTTATGATGCGTGCTACTGACTTGCTTTCAAAAGCTCCTTTCAAGCCTTATCCTTCTGAAGCTAACTATAATCCTTATACAAAACTTCATGTGAGGAAAGTGAAAGACTGTAGGATTGCAGATTGACTGTAGCTTATGGAACAGCAATGGGCATTAATATTAACCTTCCATTTACTTCTCTGTGACAGATTAGAACCTACTTCTTTTTAGCAGTGTTATACTAGAGTTATTCTCTGGTCTTTTTGCAACAAACAATTGTGTTGCTTGGATTGTCAGCACTGAATACACATCCAGAGGTGATGTTTGATCCTTAAACCATCTTACTAGACATGAGGATGCCAGCAGCTGAGCTGTTCATTAATATTTGAAAAGATTTTGGGGGGTCCTAAGATAATTACAGTTTTTCAGGAAAAATGACCCTCTCCACTCAGTTGCAGAGATCTGTATTAGACTTTCCACAGAATATCTCTGTCAGCATCAGTGTAGGTGCTACACAAACAGTGAGTCAAATGAAATCAGAGCTTTTTTGGGAATATTTTGATTTCAGAAGTTATTTCCCAGGTGCCATGCATCCAGACACCATGCCCAAACCATACAGGAGATGCATGAATCTCGTCTGACTCTTCCCATCATCGGCAGGGAGGCATTGCTGCTGGCCTGTCTTGATAGGACAGAAGAGATGCTCCATTCCTCAGATCCCCTTGACAGGTGTTGCAGAGATCCATGCCATCAGGACGTGTGATCAGCAGTATGCCCCCTGGCCCGGTGATGACATGCCCCTGTTTGTACAGACTGTAGAAACCAGAAATCTGAGTTCTGCTTGTCCGTTTGCTGTTGACCAAAATATGGGACTACGTGATGCTGCTGCTAATTTTTTCCATGATTTGGTTTTTGTTTTTAAATTTGTTAAGAATCCTTCTGAATCCTTCCTTAAAGAGAGCAAGCAACTGCATGAACTGGATACCTAGATGAGATGAAATGTATTTCAAGAAAATGTTTTCCCTTTCCTGAAGATGCTGCGTATTCAAAAACGTGGGTCCAGTCCTGCAGTACCTAGCGTGCATCTTCTACCTTCGCTCCTTCACCTATAGAAAGCTTGCGACGAATTCTAGAGGAAACAGTGATAATACCATAGGAGGCCCTTAGAGCAGGCTCTTTAGTCTCTCAGCACTTTCATAACAGACTGGTCTGTCTTTGAATCAACTTTACAATAACCAAAAGCTGAATTTTAGCTGGTGTCCATGGTATAATGAGTTAATTAAAGAAATGCGTATCTCATGTTTGCATTTTTTTTGGAAACAAGTCAAGCCCTGGCAGAGAGTAGTGTTAAATTACACCTTTGATCGCCCTGTAAACAGCAGCTCACTGGTGCCTAGTTACTCAATATTCTCCTGTACAGCTCCTCTGTCTTAGTGCAGAACTCACTGCAAAGGGCAAGAAAACACTGAGGGATGTAGTTCTCCTGCAAAGGCAGTTGCACTTTAATCAGAGATGCGACTTTCCAACTGTACTCTTTCAAGTGCAGTGGGCTCCACGTGCCTGCTTCTTACTTTGTTGTGTAGAAGACCTGATGTTATTTCATGGGAACATCACCTCTGTGGAAGTACAGCTTGGAAAGACGCACGATGGGGTAACATACTCATGGTTTTAAAAGCTGGATGGCATTTTAGAATGAGCTACAGCTGTTGAGTGGATGGAGCACGTGCTTTCCTTCAGCAAGACAACACTTACCTGGCTTTTCAGGAACAGCAAAGCAATTGATTCTGAATGCTGGATACCTTAACTAAATCCTTTAAAAATAACTGCTCACCAAAATCACCATTAGAAATGCAAGGCTAAGCTGCTCAACAAAGTTGTGTGGGTATAAATGTCTTTTGGCCAAACCTTTCTGAAGTTCAGCATGTAACTTTTGATTAGAACAGCTCTAGCTGATGGCTGGCTCCCCTTTTCAAACCACTACCACCAAACTCCTGGCTTGCTTGCTAGCATGGGGGATTTAAGAACCTCCAAAATGAGGAGAAGTAAAGATGTCATGGCTGGAGTCAGATTTAGAGGATTGAGATAAAAGAAGTGAAGCCATTTGATTAGAATTTTTATCAACCCAGTCTATACCCTGACTATGGGCAAGGCTCACACTTCTGTAGTTCAGAACACATCCTTCAGTAAGTACATAATTGGGAGGGAAATCTTTGTGCTGCTGTGTTCTTAGAAGAGTCAGCTGTGAATTGCCATGTGAAGGATGTGTCCAAAGGAGAAACACTGGGAGGAAATACTCTGCTTAACTCAACATATGTTCATTAAAGGGGCATGTATCTGAGCCTGGGGTGCCCAGCAAAGGTTGCTCATATGACTCCTGGGTTTCAGACTATGTTGAAGTTTTTATGGATGTCCCAGGAGTGTTGTGTCTCCTGTAGAAACTTGCTTTTGGAGCACTTCCAGTGCTATGAGTAGGCTATTTTGCACAACGGAGGCTACCTACTTTACGTGCTGCACCACATTTGCATCAAGCCGGCTTCTTGGCTTGTGAAGCAGGAAGAGATAGCTTGGAGATAGCTGACTGGATGAGATGACAGACAACGTGAATGTGCTCCGAAGATATTTGAATACTGCATTTGCTTCAGGGGCAAAGTGTTGGGTGATGCTGCCTGTACTGCAGTGGCACATGGCAGCTCCAGTCAGTACTGTGCTAGCTGCTGTACAGACCTGTAGGAGAGATGCTGTCCCTGCTTTGACTGTCTCTTGAGAATTATCCCTCTTCAAATGTCCAGCCCAGTCTTACAGACCTGAGATTGAGCTTTTCGAGATAAGTAGTCAAACGCCTTTCAAGTAGACCCCTACCTAAACTGCCTGCTACGCAACACAGTCTTTTAGAAGACTGCTAGACTCTCAGACAAGGAGTAACTGCTCTTCTATTACGGCTTTTGATATCGGCTACTTCCAAAGTGAAGGTACTTGCATGTGTGTATATATGTAGGGAAATCAAAACTGTTAGGCTAGAGCTTAGTGTACTAATTGAGACAAATTGCCAAATTTGCAGCTGCAAAAGTCCAGCAGCAGGTGAGGTAGGCAGTAGACCTGCTTGTTTTTAAAGCTACAAGAAATCCAAAAGCTTTTATCAACGGTAACACAGTTCACTGCAGATGCATCTATTTGGTGACCCATTGGGGCTTTAAGATGCAGGACCCACAGCCCCTCTGGTGCTGCAAGTTTGTTAGCCTGTCCCTACTGTTCGGACATTGTGGTTTTTGGCTGTTCTACCTTTTGGCTTTTCTACATTTTGTAAAGGGTCTTCAACAAAGCGAGAAAGGAGCCTTCATGAATTCAGTCGTAATGCCACATTTAAACAGATGCATGTGCACTAAAGGGCTCTGGAGCTCCAGTCTGGAGCTGGCGATGGGTGCTGAATGCACAATCCAGGCAGTGATTGGGGCTGAATGCACAACAAGAAAAGGGAATATGTTTCTCCTCTTTTCTGTGTAGCCCAGACTCATCCCAGGGCATCTACATATCTGGCTCTTTTCAGATCAGCAGAGTAGGCTTAGAAACTGCTCCTATTCCAAAGCCTTTCTAGCTAAAGGTAGCAATGTTCGAGTGGGCCTGATGGGTGTACGACCTTGGTCCTGGCCACCTCCAGGAGCTAATGGAGTTGCATTGACAAGACATGGTTCTGGGATCCAGGAGGGTCCAGTGTGGAAAGGTTGTTGCTAACATTGGTTTATTCTTATGTGTGTGTCTGATTTTTTTCAAAATCAGACATCCAAATCCTTTCAGACTGTCAGTCCTTGGTGGACAGATGATCATATCGTGGATATTTATGCAAGGGCCAGCACAATGAGGAGCTTGTGTGGTTGAGTCTTCCCCGTGCTGCCAGTCTGTACGTGTGAAGTGGTAATAATCCCTCCTTAGGCTAAGGGTAAGCAGCACTGACATTTGCTTTTGACAACAGTGGAAGTAAGGTACAAGCTTACAGTATGGTGGGCATGAGCTGTACTGTTATGTGCTAAGCAGCATAAGTTGCAGCAACCCTTTCATTTCTGAAGGAAGTCTTGTATTGCCAAAATACCACTTTTTTTTCTCTATTGAGATGAACTAAAAATGTAAAAATGTTGTGGGTACCCTGTAGAGAATCCTTCACAGGATTGGCAGTCTGAAGCCAGGGGAATACAGACTATTTCAGTGAGAAAGTTGTAAATCTTTTGCATCATTTTTTCTGTTTTGTTATTCCTGTTCAGATACAAGGTGGAATAGTTCCAGGTTCAGATTAGCACAAACTGGAGACCTCCCATCCTTGATTGTTTTCCTTGTAACATTCAATAAGGATATTTCACTTCTGGGAGTAGTTGGGAGAGATCTGATGCTGTATTAATATTCCATTTCCAGCCTAGGCACTTTACAATGACCTGAGGTAACAAATATATACAAAGAACCATCCACAAGATAAGAATGAGTGAAAGCAGAATATTACAGAAACAAGAAAACTACAGCAGTACTTGATTGATTTCAGTCTTATAGTAACATGTCTTTTGATGCTTTGTTTTTTATCCAGATGCTAGATGAAAATCATCATTTAATACAGTGTATTATGGACTATCAGAGCAAAGGCAAAACGGCAGAATGTACCCAGTGAGTATTATTAACGTTAAAGATTGTTCCCAGGCTTCTTACCACGAAGAATGTTGTGAACGGTGTTCTGTACCTGCCAGTGGCAAGAGTACTTGGATTGCTAATTTTCTTGGCTTTACCATGTATTAACAGTTTTAAATTGCTTTTGGGACAAAAACATTTTTGTTTGTTCATTTTAATGTTTCACCCTTGGGCTTTTTGAGCAGTGTCGTTTTAAAAAAAAAAAAAAAAAAAGGAAAAACCACACAAAAAACGAAGGGAAGTGGCGGGAGAGAATGAGAGATGTCTTCAAAATAAGCAGCAATGCTATATCAGTGGTTTTGTTCAAATGAAAAGTAAAACTGACAATAGTTTGTGCCTGGTAAATGCACATTCTCTGTGTCCCTCACTGTGGAAGGAGAGTGACAGTTCTGACTTAAAACATCAAGTGAATTGTAGAATCAAGGGATTAGAAGGAACCTTGAGTTTAATCTAGTCCAACCCCCTGTACAGGTGCAAGGTTTGCTATTCCTAAACCATACCAGGTAGATGCCCGGTCAGCTCTTCTTGGAAACGTCCAGTGAAGGAATCTCCACTCATTGCCCTACTGGTTTTACAGTTAGGAAGTTTTTCGTGAGATTTGACTGAAGTTTGCTTTATGGTACCCACCCATTGCTCAGTGGCCTGCCATTTGCGGCCCAGCAGAAGAATACTTGCCCATCTTCTTCCTGGCACCCTTTCAGATACATGAGCACTGCTCTCATGTACGCCCTTTCCCAGTTTTTCTATATCCTTCTTAAAATCTAGTGCTCAAAACTGGACACAGTGCTCCAACTGAGGCCCAACCAGTGCCAAGTAAAGTGTTGCCCTCATGTCACACCATTTGTATACAGTGCCTCTATTAATGCAACCCAACATTTCATTTGCTTATTTTTTTGTGATAGCATCAGATTGTGGGCTCCTGCTGAGTGTCTTATCTACCATCACCCCCAGTTTCTTCCTGGCCATGTTACTGCCAAAAGTGAAACACAGAAATATAAGTTGACCCCCCTCTGAATTATTCTATGTGCAGAACTCCCATTCAAAGCAAGCATGGATCAGATGCAGAATTGGGCCCACGTACTTACCTGAGGAAGGAAAAGTGAATAGTGACAAACGTGGTGTTTTGATTGGAGAAGAGTAGTGTTTCCTTTGAAGTCACTTTTTAGACCCAATTTTGCATTCATGATACAAGCAAAACCCCAGGGGTTGAGCTGTTACTGAATGATGGGGCATTTTCTCACACGTGTGCATGTGTGGTGAGTGAGGGAGTCTTTCCTATATAAAAATGAAAGCTGGAGTCTCTCTTCTTCTTAACGGTTATATTCCTGTTATGAGGCAAGTGCAGGTAATTCTCATTACAGATGCTACACAGGCACAGTGACAGGAGACAGTAGGTCTGTGCATAATGCCGTATGCTCTGGAGTTCACAGAGGTAATGATGAGGCTTTAGAATAATCTTAACATATCATTTACAAAAGTAATTATAAAGAAGTGTGAATTTAGAATTATGGAACCATTTGTTCAGGAGTTAAATATCAGTGCTGGTAGGTAATTATTTTCTAGTTTGCATAAAGTTAATAACAGTTTTATCAGAAAAAGGATTAAATTGTATTTCTCAAAGATTTTGGTGAACTCTGCGTACAAATGATGGATATGGGCTTATTAATTGACATTACTACTTGCTAGTCTTAATCATCAAAGCGGCATGCATCTTTACTGGAAGAATGGATTGCAGCTGAGTCAGGAAAACCTAGCAAACTTGCCACAGGATAGGGCAAGCTGAAGGGCCAGCAAGAAAGCTGTTGTTCTCTTAAAACGGAAAATGTATGTAAGAGGGAATCATAGAAAATTCCAAGAAAATTAAGGTTGGAAGGGACTTCAGGAGGTCATCTGTTCCAACTCCCTGCTCAGAGCATCCCAAACTAGATCATCCCAGCCAAAGCGTTCTCTAGCCAGGTCTTAAAAACCTCCATGATGGAGACTCCACAGCCTCTCTGGGTAACCTGTTCCAGTGCTTTACTAACAGAGGAGAAGTTTGCCATGTATGTTTGTCAATACTTCATCACAGGAGATTTCAGTCTTTTTCAGCAGAAGGTGAATATTCACTTTGTTCACTGTGATTTACTCACCAAAGATTTGGAGCACTAGATAAAACTGTAAGTGTTCTGCGCAGATCATGTTAAACAGAGAGAGAGCTGGGGTGTTCTGTTACCTTCTCAACTCCATGCTTCTGCCTTCCTTTGCCCCGTTTTCATGTGTCGTCATTCTGGCTTCATTTTCCTACTTCTTTCTCCTAAACCCCCACCAACAGGAAATTGTGTTTAAAAAGGTGTCCCTTTTTGTTCTCTTGGTGCCTTCCCTGCTTCTAAAAGTTTAGCTCTCCCCTTGCTCAGTGGCACAGCATTTAGGATTTCATTCAAGTTGACCTCCTGTTCCTCATCCCAGTCTCTTCAAGTTTACTTGGGGGAGGAAGCATGCATGTTTCACATGGTTTCAGTGAGTGGCACTGCTCAGGCCTAAAAAGACAGCGTTCTCGTGAGCTTGCTTACAGGGCAACCAGTTTTTTGTTTGCGGGGGCTTAATCTGTATACACTGCTAGGGCATAAAGGAAATAAAGGCCCCATAGCTAATCATTAAAGCAGAGGACTGGAAGTCAGTACTCCAAGGCTCAGTTCCTGTGCCTACCAACCATTCAGTGCATTTTCAGTATCTCTTTACTTCCTCAGTTTAACCATTTGTAAAATGGATATTGAGTACTTTGACAGATTCTGATGAAACTAAGGACAGCACAGAATTGGTTGTTATGTATTATGATGGAAGCAGAGTGGCTACTGAGAATTTGAAGGCTCAAAGACAAGGTTGCATTGAATTCATGGAGTAGGATTTTTAGATATTGTTAACATTTTATGAAATAAACTCTGCTCCTTATCTTGTAGATACCAACAAATCTTGCACAGAAATCTGGTTTACTTGGCAACAATAGCAGACTCAAACCAGAACATGCAGTCGTTGCTTCCTGCTGTGAGTACCAATACTAATAATAAGCATATTTACTGAGACAAAGAAATGATTGTTCAAATATTGATTGGAAAAAAGGGTGTTATAGTTTCATAGTTTCATAGATTTAGGGTCAGAAGGGACCTAGTAGATCTTCTAGCCCGACCCCCCGCCAGGGCGGGAGAACAACAAAACCCCAAAACAAGAAACGGGACTCAAATGAGTCCAGCCAGGTAGGCATCCAGCCTCTTCTTAAAGACCCCCAGGGTAGGGGCCAGCACCACTTCCCTTGG